GAGAGCTGCATGGACCCCTGCAGCGCCGCAAGGCCCACCACGTAGAAGGTGCCACCCCGCACCATGCACAGGCAGCCTAGTAGAGAGAAGCCACAGGCAGCTTCCCAACCCATGTCACTCTGCATGCAGTAGGTGACCCTGTTGCCGGATGCCGGAAGGCCATTTAGAAACCAGTAGAGAAGGCTGTCTCATGTGCCTTCTGGAGGAGCCAAGCATCGAGTGGTCCAGCTCAGACACGGGGAGAGAGGGGCCCTGGCCAGTGGGAAGGGCCCCCAGGCCTCTGGCTCCAGGGATGTGGGGGTGGCAGCAGCGACCCCCATAAGTGCAGTCGGGCCAGGCAGGCAGCCTAAATCATTCTAAATGAGTGATTTGTACGGTCTGTGATTTATATCTAAATAAAATTTTTAAAATCATAAGTAGAAGCATCTAGGCAGCCCAGCCGGGCGTGGCTCAGCAGTTGAGCATCAACCTAGGATCCAGGCGATCAGGGTTCAATTCCCGATCAGGGTTCAATTCCCGGTCAGGGCACATGCCCGGGTTGCAGGCTGGATCCCCAGTCGGGGGCGTGCAGGAGGCAGCCGATCAATGACTCTCTCATCATTGATGTTTCTCTCTCTCTCTCTCCCTCTCCCTTCCTCTCTCTGAAATCAATAAAGATATGTGTGTTTTTTAAAAAAATCTATCTTTAAAAAAAAAAAAAGAATAAACAAATAACAGTTTAATATTATTTTCAAATATTTTCTTTTTTCCCCAGCTTTATTGAGGTATAATCAACAATTTAAATAATTGTCAACTGAGGTATAACTGAAGTATAATATTGAGGTACAATTTAAATATTTAAAGATATTTAAAGTGTACATAATGATGATTTGGTATATGTAAGCTACACTGTAAAAGGATTCCCTCCATTTAGTTAATTAACACATCCAGCCCCTCAGATATGTGTGCATGTGTATACGTAAGTTCTACTCTCTTAGCAAAATACAATACAGTGTTATCAACTATAGCCACCTCAAATATTTTCTTTTGAAAACAACTTTCAAACAAACCTAGTACGAACATAAGGAAATTAATTGAGTGGTTCACCTATTAAATACTTACTGAGTACAATGATAGCCTCGAACCTCAGGCTTTGGCTGGTGTTTCTTTAGGTGCTTGCTGAGTCCAGAGCCCCTGTGAAAAGACTTTCCACAAACTGAGCAATGGTACTTGGACTCTCCTATAAAAATAAAACCATGTCATAAATCCAGCAATCACATGCTCTTCAAATAGAATATCTTATGTCATATTCCAGAAGTTATTTTATCAGAGGGATACGGAAGCTCTATATAACATTTGGCACCCACCTTCTAAGAAGAACAGCAAACCACATCAAAATCCCTATTTCCTCTCAGCTTCAGAGCTGGCAAGGCTACTGCTAGCCAAAGAATGTGATACATTTCATAATCATCTGGATTATAATAGTAAGAGTTGAATACAAGTTCTAGAGTAGACATCTACCCCTTCACCTGCCATTTCCACATAACTGCTTTGAGCATTTGAAAATAAGCATGTGTAAAATAAAAATTCTAATGAAATTGTAAGCCACATATCGTGTTGACAGTTACATCTGCCTGCTACTTAACTTTTTTTTTTTTTTAAATGTGTCTTTATTGATTTTAGAGAGAGGGAAGGAGAGGGAGACAGAAACATCAATGATAAGAGAGTCACTGATTGGCTGACTCCTGCACGTCCCCTACTGGGGGTTGAGCTCACAACCCAGGAATTGAACCACAATCTCCTGGATCATAGGTTGATGCTCAACTGCTGAGCCACACCAGCTGGGCCTAAAGCTTAATTTTTTAAAAGCATGACCATTTTCTTTAGGTGCCTCAATCTAAATTACACATGATTTAATATTCAGTACATCTTTTTCTATACTGAGGGAAACTGAATATTTTTACACAAATAAGGTAGCTCTAAAACTAGATTTAAGAACACCTTTTAAGTTTACTCATTAATAAAAAACTGCACACATATAACCATAAGTATATCAATATAATTTCTAAAATTATCACAGCATAATCAATATGATAGTAAATTAATAGTATATAACATGCACAGGGTGGGGCAAAAGTAAGTTTATGGTTGTTCATATGAAAAATGATACAATAATTAATAAATAATACAAGAATAAACTTTGTTTCCCATGCTCACAATTGTAAACCTACTTTTCCCCCACCCTGTAATTATATCAATATAAATTCCTCATTACCTGTGTGAATACTCATATGTTCTTGAAGACTCCGTTTGGTAACAAATGACTTAACACATAGTTCACATTGGAACTGCTTTTGTGATTGATGGAGACTCTGGTGCAATTTTAGACCATGCTTGTAGATGAAAGTCTTTCCACAGACCTAAGACAGCACAGGTGTTTAAACCAGTAAAACAGAAAAGGAGATAGATCTGTTTCTGAAGAATGAAGACAGAGAAACCTGTATGCCATTTTAAATAAAAAACTTAAATTATAAACAAAGTAACAAAGTGAAAGTTGAAACAAATGCCAAGGATATTAGCTGGTTGATCATCTGATTTAGAAATGTTGCTATTTTTCTTATATACATGTGATTGATCACTGGCAGAGCTCAAAGCAGTACAAAAAAACCTTATGCTATTATGAGATTGGCAAACAGTATACATACTTTATATATTAAAGAAACATGGCAGCTTAATTAAGAAAATACACTAATTTCCTGCTGCACCAACTAGAACAGTGCTTCTCACGCTCTCTGTGACGAAGAACCAGTTCCTCTACCCCCATCCCCAATCCAAGAGATTTTTGTTAAACACAATAAAAATGTCACAACAATGTCAAATTGCCATGACTGTTTCTAAATGCTTATTAAATTTCTATAGTTATCTACACATTTTGTGCAGTGTTACAATAGAAGACAAGAGGCCCAATTAATACTTAGTTTTTAAATTTATGAAAATGGTGCTTAGGGCTTGGCTTCAAAATTGCAGAGAGGGGAAAGTAGGGCAGTGAGTGACAATTGACCCTATGTGGATAAACTACTGAATCTGGATGAAGGGTACATGAAGACCTATTCTATTCTCTTATATTCTATTCTCATATAACATAAGCTAAAACAAAACAAAAAAACAACAGAGAATAGCCCAAAGTTGGCTAATCATAGGATTCTTTACCTAGGAGTCATTTTGGCATCTGTACCCTCAGTCCTCAGCACTAGAGAATACATAGCTTACCCAGAATTTTTGCTAAGATTTGTTTAAACCCCGGGTTCCTTTCAAGTCCAGGCTGGTCCCGCTGAAGGTTAAGGGGTGACTGGGATGATGATTCTCACCCAGTACATCCCCTGAATCCTAGTAAGTTTCATGAACATCCTAAACAGATTCATTTCAAATTACAATAAACAGCAAATTAAAGAACACAATTGGGAATCACCCTTTACCCAGGCAACAAACTAAAGAAGTCACAGAATTCCCTGTGACATTTTATAAGAGTAAGGGTGATTCCAGAGTCAACCAGGCTCATCACCACTTAAGTTTCAATCTTCTTTATATAACAAAATAAATGTTATAGCTTTACCTGGCATGCATGTGGCTTTACACCAGTGTGCTTTAACATATGTATTCGAAGAGAATATAATTTAGGTAATGTCCTTCCACATATGGAACATATAAATTCACGTTTGGTTCTGCCCTTCTCAGACGATGTTCCTGATGCCTCATTAGATGTGGAATTGGAAGACGATGAGGTGGGTGCAACTTTTCTGGTATGTCGGATAAGGTGTGCTCTCAAGGAGGCACTGTACTGAAACTGTTTTTTACACAGCTAAAAGAAAAAGTAAACAAAATTCTATCTAAATGTAATTTCATTACAAATGTTAAGTAAAACTCGACTCATATTTCAATTTCCCATTTCTATGTTACAATTATATAAATCAATAAACACATATACTATGTACAAGACAATATGCTAGGTATCAGATCATAAAGATGAAAAGGATAAGATCCAGACCCCTACTCTGGAGGGGCTTATAATCTAACCACAGAAACAGGATTTATATGTAAATAAAGGTAAAACTTTAAGGAGGAGAAGGAATCTGAAAAATAAGGAAAGGCCTCATTGAGGAGGCTAGGTCTCCCTTGAAGGAATTGTAGGACACAGACGAAGACTGAAGAATGCTATCATTATAGGAGTACTCATAGTTGTTAGGTGGAGCAAGAATAGGGTTGGGAAAAGTAGAAAAATAAAACTATGATGGTCCTTGGATTTTATCCCATAGTTGTTGGGAATTCATGAAATCAAAGTTATATATGCTGACCATGTACAAAACTTACTATTTAAAAATATATATATTTATTGATTTCAGAGACAGAGGGAGAGAGAGAAACCTCAATCGCCTGTCTCCTGCACACCCCCTACTGGGGATTGAGCCTGCAACCTGGGCACGTGCCCCGACCAAGAATTAACAGGAATAATGGACAATAATACTCTCCTTTACCCCCCCAACTCCCTACATATATGCAAATCCTTTGCGTTATCCTACTTTCTTAGTACTATAGTTATATAATACTTTTGATTGATCCACTTCAGTGTTTACATTATTTGGATGATGTAAATGTTATTACATCATACACTTGGACCATAAGATACAGTATGATTCTCTTTCCTTTCTTTCTGTTTTTGTTTCACTTCCCGCTCTGTATTTACTGCTAATTCATCACCAAACCCTTCCTCAAATGTCTACTGAGAGGAGACTTAAAACATATCATCTTATGGGAGGTCTCTATCAAAGCATTATGTCCTGTTCCAACCTAGGCTAGTTGTTTTCTGCACTTGGACTACATAGTCTCTGACCCCAAGTTTCCCATGTCTTGCTCCTTTTAGGGGAACACCTCTGCTAACAGGTTCCTGAAAAAGGGAGTTTGGGAGGTAAAACTTTCCAGACCTTGCATGTCTGGAAATGTCCTTATTCTACCATCACAAATAACTGATAGCTTGATTGGCTGTAGATTCCAAGTTAGAAATAATTTCTTTTTTCTCCACATTCTTACATCTGATAAATTGCTTGCCTCCATTTAATCTAATTCTTTTCTGGAGATTTCTCTTGTTCTTTCATTTGGGACATGTTTCTTTGTCTCCCCATTTTGGCTGCCCCTTTGTGTTTGTTTCTAAGTATTAGGTAGATGGACTATGACTCCCAGTATTGGTAGGGGGGCCTTAAGTAGTCAGTGTCCTGTGGAAGCCAGTGGCGCAATCTCCTTGATCACCTGACCTGGGTGCTCTAATAACGTCCCTTGTGTACACTGTATGGGCCCTCCTGTTATAATTGAGTCTTCACTGCTATTGGCCCCTTCACATAATTTTAAAGACACTGTGTCTTTATCTTCTAGCTTCTGTTGTTGCTGCTGAAAAGCCTGAAGCCATTCTGACCCTTAAATCCTTTCTGTGAGACGGAGTGTCATTTTTATGCCTTGCAATTTATAAGTTTTTCTTTCTCTTGATTCTGAAATTTTATAATAAATCTTGATATAGATTTATTTTCATCCATGGTTCTGGGCATTCAACCTGCTCTTTTAACAAGAAAACATCTATTCTTAAGCTCAAAAAATTTTCTTTATGGCATTAATGATTTCTTTTTCTCCATGTTCCCTGTTTGGAATTTTGTGGATATTAGAGATCTTAGACCAATCCTCTAAATTTCTCTCACTCCCATTTTCTAACTTGTCTTTTTGCTTTACTTTCTGATTTAGTCAATTCTATTTACCAACTTTTCTGAGATTTTTATATTTATTATATATTTTATTCCTAAAAAGCTCTTCTGTTCTCTTAATGTGCCCTTTAAAAAATATAGTATCTGGTTATTGTTTCATTGATGTAACTTTTTCATTTATTTCAGATATCATACTTTGTGATTTTTTTTTTTGGAGGGGAGGATGGGGTTTCATTTCTTTAAATTTATCTTTTATTGTTTTATTGTTGACACTATTACCGATGTCCCCCCTCCTTTGCCTCCCACTTTGTAGTCCTCCTACTGTCACTACCGGTGGCCTTCACCACATCATTGTCTATGTCCATGGTCTATGCATATATTCGTTGGTTAATCTCTTCCATGCTTTATTTACATCCCCATGACTATTCTGTAACTACCAATTTGTACTTCTAAATCCCTTCACCTTTCATCCTTCCCGCAACACCCCTACAATCTTACTTATTGTCATTTTATTGTTCATATCCCCCCCCCTTCTTTTTAAAGAAGACCCTTTAACATTTCATGTAATACTGGTTTGGTGCTGATGAACTCCTTTAGCTTTTTTTTGTCTTGGAAGCTCTGTATATATCCCTCTTCAATTCTAAATGATAGCTTTGCTGGGTAGAGTAATCTTGGTTGTAGGTCCTTGTTTTTCATCACTTAATATTTACCAGTCCTTTCTGGCCTACAAAGTTTGTTGAGAAATCAGCTGACAGTCATATGCTCCCTTGTAGGTAACTGCTTTTCTCTTGCTGCTTTTAACATTTTCTCTTTGTCTTTAACCTTTTGCATTTTAATTATGATGTATCTTTGGGTTCATCCTGTTTGCGACTCTGTGCTTCCTGGACTTGTCTATTGCCTTCACCAGATTGGGGAAGTTTTCTGTCATTAGTTTTTCAAATAGATTTTCACTTTCTTGCTTTCTTCTCCTTCTGGCACCACCATGATGGAAATGTTGGCATGCTTGAAGTTGTCCCAGAGGCTCCTTACACTGTCTTTATATTTTTGGATTCTTTTTTCTTTTTGCTGTTCAGATTGGGTGTTTTTTGCTTATTCTCCAAATCACTGACTTGATTCTTGAAGTCATCTAGTGTTGATTCACCGTAAATTATTCTTCATTTTAATGTACCCTTCATTTCTGACTAGTTCTTTTTTATGGTTTTTATGCCCTTTTTCATGCTGCCGAAGTTCTCACTAAGCTCCTTGAGCATCCTTTAGCCACTGTTTTGAACTCTGTGGCTGCTACTTTGCTTTGCCTCCATTTCATTTAGTTCTTTTCCTGAAGATTTTTTTCTGTTGTTTCATTTGGGACCTGTTTCTTTGTCTCCTCATTTTCACTGTTTCTCTATGTTTGTTTCTATGTACTAGGTAGAGCTGCTATGTCTCACAGGCTTGGTAGAGTGGCCTTATGTAGTAGGCATCCTGTAGGGCCCAGGGGTGCAGCCCCTCCAGTCACCTGAGCTGGGTGCTCCAAGTGCACCTGTGTAGGCTGTGTGCATTGTCCCATACTAGTTGAGCCCTGATTGCTGTTGACATCACTGGGATGGAACGACCCCCAGGCTGCGAAGACTAGCTGCGAGTACAGCGAGGGAGCTGCTGTGCACAAGTTGACCCTATGGAGAAGGACTAGCTTCAGGAGGGCTTTGTTGCTCACTGATTCCGCCCCTTGAGTGTGTTGCTCGTGGAGGTGGTAAGGTTGCAAACCAGTGTGGTCTGAAGCTGTACACCAGGTACACTGGGTCTGGGGCCTTCCAGAAGGTGCAGTCAGCTACTGCCTATGCCCTGCCTGGGTCACAGCTAGAGTGATGTGCAGATGGCTACTTGTGTTGGGCCTGGGGATGCCCTAGAGACCAAGATGTAAACCAAGCCCAGCTGCCGCTAGTGCCAGGCCTATGGCCACTTAGCAAGAGGTACAGAGTATACAGAGGTCAGATGCTCCTTGTTTGAGATTTTAGGGAAGCCTGAAGCATGAGGCAAGAGAGGCCAGTTGTATGGCGCCTGCCTGTCAGCTCTGTGGGTGTGGGGGTCTCAGAAAAGGAACAATGGACGTTGGCAGCATTTTTGTCTTGCAGAAAGCTGCCCCAACTCTTGCCCTGATGTCAGAAAATTCAGTTCCTCCCTGTATGGTTCCTTTTAAGCTGCTGCCCAGCACTGGAGTTCAGAGAAAGTGAGTCTGAGTCCATGCTAGGGCCCTTTAAGAGGAACTGCTTGGGATTGTGGCGGCCCTCTCTTCCACTTGGCCACACTGCCTGGTGATTTTTACAGCCAGTTCTCTTCCTGGCACTGGAAACCTGGGCTGGGGGGTCTGGTGTGAGGCTGGGGCTCCTTGTTTCCCAAGGGGATCTCTGCAGCCGACATATCCCTCCTGATTTTATTTAGTTATTGTTAATCCTCACCTGAGGATATTTTTTCCATTGCTTTTCAGAGGGAATGGAAGGGAGGAAATGAGGGGGAGACAGAGGGAGGGAGAGGGAGAGAAACATCGATGTGAGAGACACACATTGACCAGTTGTCTCCCACATGTGCTCCAACTGGGGGTGAGGAGAGAAACCACAACTTAAGTTCGTGCCCTTGACCAGGAACCGAACATATAGCCCTTAGATGCACAGGCTGACGCTCTAACCACTGAACCATGCCAGCCAGGGATATTTATTTTTTTAAAAAAATTAGTTTTATTAATTTTTTAGAGAGAGAGGAAGGGAGAAGAGAGAAACATTGATATGAGAGCAACATCCATCTGCGGTCTGCTGCATACCCTCTACAAGGGGTGAAGCCTGCAACCCGGGCATGTGCCCTGACTGGGACTTGAACCAAAAGCCTCTCTGTGCATGAGACAATGCCCAACCAACTGAGCCACACTGGTCAGGCCATCCCTCCCAATTTTAAACTGCCACATGTGAGTGTGAGACCAGCTTGTTCCGCATCTCCGCACCTCCTACCAGTCTCAATGTGGTTTCTTCTTTAAATCTCTTGTACTTCCATTCAGCTAGATTTCAGGCAGTTCTGAATGATGGTTGTTCTGCAGTTTAGTTGTATTTTTTGACGTGGTTGTGGAAGGATTCAAGCACTGTATTTACCTACGCTGCCATCTTGCCTGGAAGTCTGGGGGTTTTTTTGTTTTGTTTTTAAGTTTTCTTCTCTGCATAGTCTTGGATTCCTCAGCTCCCTTTTTTCTTGAGATATTTATCATGAGTCTCATTATCCCTGATGTCTAGTCATATTTCAGAATACGATGAATTAAAGGCTTGATTGGAATTTCTGTGTAAGTGGGGGGGGGTTGTCAACCACAGGTTTTAGTCAGCAATACCTTTAGGATTTTGTTTATGGGCTTTGAATTTCTCATCTCTGAAAAATCTTTCTGCTTTCAGGTTAAAGACCTGTTAACATGCTGGGACTTGATCAGGAAAAGACAACTTGAAAAGTCTTAATATTTAAGCTTTTACTTTTCCTTGTTTTGGATATAATACCTTCACCCTCTCTGTACACAGTATTCCCCAGAGCAATTATAATTTTATCTTTTCTTGAAAGTAGAAGATGGATCTTTGTCTGAGGGAGTGACGACTTAATTACCTCTCAAAAGGACCTTCTCACAACCAGACTCACTTCTACTTTTAAGGTAGCTAGTAATACTTATTCCTAAGCTGTTTGGTAGTTCTGCAATACAATTTTGTCTGATTCTTAGCTTTCCCCACTAAAAGCCTGGCAATGAGCCCTTTTAAATAATTTGCTGAATCAGTTATTCCATCTATTAGAGTCTAGAATTTAGTTGCTAAGTAAGGTCTCCTCTCCTGTTCTCTTTGAGCTTATTATTTTTTAATATATTTTTACTGATTTCAGAGAGAGAGGAAGGGAGAGGGAGAGAGAGAAACATCAATGATGATGGTCATTGATTAGCTGCCTCCTTCATGGCTACTGCTGGGGATTGAGCCCACAACCTGGGCATGTGCCTTGACAGAGAGCTGAACCTCAATCTCCTGGATCATAGGGTGATGCTCAACCACTGAGCCACGCTGGCCGGGCTGAGCTTATATTTATATTTTTTTCCTTTCCATGGACACTGTGTGTGCCCTGCTGGAGAGCTTACATTTTTAAAATGATAATTTTACTGTTGTCTTACTGGTATCAGGAAGAAGTAGAGGCACATCACTAAATATATTTTTTTGTCAAGGAAACACATGTACAAATCAGAAGATGGCCCTTATAGTAACATAAGGGAGACTGACACACAGAAATAACACAAATGGCAGAACAAAAATGAAGCAGTAAGATTCTACTTATCATGAAATTAGAGCCATCTTCAATTAGTTTTCCAGACACTTACCGGGCATTTGTAATCTCTAGATCTTTCATGTTTCAGTGTGTGCATTATAAGTGTGTATCTTCTCTGAAAAACCATTCCACATTCCCCACATTTATGAGATGCCTCTTCTTCAGTATTCTCTTTAGCATCCCTTTTTGGCTGTTTCATCTTTTTTCCTCTTTGAACTAATTTCTGGGCTACCTAAGTACGGGATAAAAAAACAATCTAAATATAACCATTTTTATTTTTACATCATGAATCATAAATATTGCAAATTCACATTATCATATTAATATTGGTATTTAAAACATTAAGTTGCTTGTCTGCACTTATCCCCCTTCACCCCAAAACAGTTTCACCATAGGCTTAAGTTTATCAATAGAACACTTTAAAATTAAAGCTAAAACTACGAAGGTGAACTCTTCATCATACCTGTTGAACTGCTGACTTGGGAATGGCTTTCCGTTTCTGCAGCTTTTTCTCCATTCCTTTGTGTAGTCGAATATATCCCCCTTCATTAATAGAACGCTGTCGAAGCCTGCTTCTATAAGTATCATCATCAGGGCTGAGGTCTTTCTTTGCAACTAGATTTTCCTGATCTTTTAAAGATTGGCCAAGGTTCTGCCTATGCTCTGGAATGTCTTCATCACAGATATCCTCATTTGATGTATCATTTCCCACATCACTGTTTTCTGGCGAGCCACTGATTACATTCTCTTTGGAAAGTTTAGGACAAATATTAGAAACTGTGCTATCTTCTCCGCTGTTTAAAGTTTCTAGTTCTGTCTGGTTGTTTTTTGTTACTAAACCAACAGATTCCATTTCAGGATGAGAATCAGTTACACAGCCTATAGGTGAAGGTGACAGAGTAGCTTCAGCCTCTGAAGAAACCTGGGGCTCAGGCTGTTGTTTGGCCTCTCCATTCTGCTCAGCTTCTGGCAATTCTCCATTCACCAGTAGTACAATTTCACAATCCCCAAGTTCAGTAGATAAAGTTGTGGTAGTTCCCTCATTGTTAACCACAGGAGGCACTGTCCGTCCATTTTGTTCTGGTAAGTCCTGGGTAGATGCAACTGTTTGTACTTCACCCTTCTTATATACTGTTAGCTGCTTCTCTTCCATTAGTTTATGTACACTTTCACAGATTTCTAAAACTTCTGACATGAAAAGATGCCGAGCCAAGATGGCTACATCAGCCATGCTACAGAAATCAAAACTTAGCACAGAAGTATAGGCAAATTCCAGTAAAGGAAGGAAGCTTGCTTTACAGAAACCTATATGAAACAAGACAGACGGGGGACAAAAAGTCAAATCACCACTAAAATACCTTGTAAGAACAATTAATGTAAGATTATCACAATATAAAATAGAATATAAAGGCAAACATGACCATTTATTCTGCAATTAAACACCCTGGATTTGTTTTTGTGTTCTGATTGCTTATTAAGCCTTTACTAACTCACTTCTATAAGCTGAGTCTCTCAATACCTAAAATAGAAAATAATATCAGACTTACTACCTCAAAGAGTTGTTGTAAGGCAGTCATTTTCAAACTGTATTCCTTAGAACCCCGGGGGTTCCTCAAATTCCCCTCAAGAAACAGCTGCTGGAGAATGGAGGGTAAAAAAAGAGAGGGACGCAGGTGAGTAGGCAGGGTTCAACCAACTTGTCTCCTAACCTCACTTCATATGTATAGCTGTATATTTTAATATAAGTCAATATAAAAATTTGATTGTGAACAATGGGTTCTACTAAAAATTTAAAAACAAAGTCTAAGGCAGGAGGCCAGCAAAATTTTTCTGTAAAGAATCAGATAATTAATAGTGCAGGCCATAAGGTGTTTGTTGCAACTACTCAACTCTGTCATTGTAGCTAGAAAGAGTAGCCATAGATAATTCATACACAAATGGGTGTGGCTATGTTCCAATACAACTTTACAAAAAACCAGGGAAAGGAAGACTGGGCTATAATTTGCCTATCCCTGGTCTAAGGAATGAAATAATTACTCTACACATGAGTTATTACATTCTTATTTTATGTGAGAAAATAAGATCAGTTTTTTTTTTTCTAAGTTCTCAGACACTATACTGTACCTTACTTTTCACATATAATAATTTATCTTAGAGATCCTTTATTAAAATATAAAGAGCCAAAGCAAACTTTTAAAAACTCACATTTGCTGTATTTTTCAGTTTTGACTCAAGGTACCTAAAATGTGATCCTTTTACATAGGCAGACAGGATGGACAAGTATACAGAGAAGCCTTATATTGTGAGATACAACAGATTTGGCCTGCAAACTGTAGTTTGCAAATGTGTGCTTTAGCAGGATTTTAAAAAAGTAAACCTTAATAAAAAAATTTTTTTTAAAAATGTTTTTATTGATTTTTGAAGAGAGGGAGAGGGAGAGAGAGAGATGCAAACATCAGTGATGAAAGAGTCATCACTGACTGGCTGCCTACTGCACACTTCCTACTGGGGACTGAGCCTGAAACCCAGGCATGTGCCCCGACTGGGAATTGAACAGTGATCTCCTGGATCATACATCGATGCTCAACTACTGAGCCACACCAGCAGGAACTATAAAAACTGCTTTTAAATGAGAGAAAAGGCACAAATAACTGATCTCAAAAAATAAAACAGACATATTTAAAAAGTCACTGGAGACATTTAGAAGAGAATATTATGAAAAATTTTATGCCAACAAACTTGAAAATTTTGACAAATTCTGGCAAAAAATATAACTTTTTATAAATTACTCAAGATGAAATAGAAAACCTGAATAATTCTCTAACCATTAAACTTGTCAAGTTCATAGTTAAAAGTCTTCTCAAAAAAAAGTCTTCACCCAAAGTTCACTACAGGTGCAGGCAATTTTAGCCAACATGCAAGAAACGAATAATTCTAATCTCATAGTAACTATTTCAGTGTACATAAAAATTTCAGGGAACACACATTTTATAAGAACCACTTTTGATATCAAAATGTGATAGAAACAATGTGAAAAAATAAAATCACCCATGAAGATAGATGCAAATGTTTTAAATAATATTAGCAAACTATACAAAAATTTATATAAAAGGTATATGTCATGACTAAACTAAACTAAATTAAAACCTTAACATTAGAAAATCCAATATAATTTCCCACACTAACAGAATGAGAAAAATAAGTATGGTCTCAATGGATACAGAAAAGTATGTGAGCCTGGCCAGTGTGGCTTAGTGGTTGAGCACTGACGCATGAACCAAGAGGTCACTGTTTTGATTCCCAGTCAGGGCACATGCCTAGGTTTCAGGCTCAGTCCCTAGTAGGGGGCCTGCAGGAGGCAGCCGATTGATGTTTCTCTCTCATCGATATTTCTCTCTCCCTCTCACTTCCTCTCTCTCTAAAATCAATAAAAACATATATATATGTATTAAAAAAAAGTATGTGATAAGTCAACACCTATTTAAGAGGAAATTTCCTTAATGTTAAAGGGAGTGAAGGATTATCTATTTAAAATATATACTGTCCTGGCTGGTGTGGCTCAGTTGCTTGAGCCTCCTCTAGTGAATCTAAAGGTACCCGTTCGATTCCGATCAGGGCACATGCCCAGGTTGTGGGTTTGATCCCCAGTCAGGTGTGTATAGGAGGCAACCAATCAATGTTTCTATCTCACGTTGATGTTTCTCTCTCCCCCTCTACCTTCCCCTCTCTCTAAAATCAATAAAAATATATTAAAAACAAAACATGTACCAAATAATATACTTCATGGTTAAAAAAAGAAAACAGAAAAAAAAAGGCACCTCCTTTAGAAATGGGAATCAAGTAAGTGAACCCTCTATCACCATTTCTATTCAACTGCTGTTTTTTGAGGTCCTGGTAAGAAAAAAAAAGTTCAAAATATAAGGACTGGAAAGGTAGAAACAAAGACATTACTATCAGCAGATAATATCTTTGTTTTATTTGAAAAATCTCAAAGAATCTACAGAAAAACATCTGGACAACTAAATAACTTATAAGTATTATTGTATAGAAAATCAATATACACCAGAAATAAATCAGAAATTATATAATTTTAAGAAGAAAAGAATTACATAATAGTATCAGAAGGTATAAAGTACCTTGGAATAATAAAGCAAAAGATGTGGAAGGCCTTTATCTCTATCAAAATACATTATTTTCTTTTGTGGAAGTTGAGGAGCTGCTTTGACAGTTTATATGGAACAGCAAATGGTTATGAATAACTGAGACCCACCTGAATAATAAAGGTGGGAAACTTTCCTTATTATTTTAAAGCTAAGATAATTATGACCAAATTCTAAGAATGCAGAAAAAGCCCTGGCCAGGTAGCTCAGTTGGTTGGAGTGCTGTCCCATTCACGAAAAGTTTCAGGTTCAATCCCTGGTGCCTACAGAAGGTAACTGATCAATTGATCTATTTTTCCCTTCCTTCTTCCTCCTTCCCTCCCTCCCTTTCTCTTTCTAAAAATCAACAGAGGATAAAATTTTTTTAAAAAGTGTGTAGAAACAACCAATAGATTAGAGCAAAGCCTAGAATCAGTACTAAACTCATGTGGAAATTTGTTTTCTAAGAATTTTCATGGTCTTTGTGTGGGAAGAGGATAGACTTTTCACTAAATGGCTCTGAGACAAGTAGTGATCAAAATGGGGGGGAAATGATATCAAACACCTATCTCACACCAACAAGAATATTCCAAATAGATTAAAGATTCAACAAAAAAAACCTAGAAAAATTAAAGAAGACAATATATGAAAATATCTTTTGAGTAGGAATTTTTTAAAGTATAAACAACATAAATAAAAACACTGATGAATTCAACTACATTAAACTAGGTAATTAAAAAAACAGATGTACATTTTTAAAATACTGCACATATATTTTATAAACACTCTAATTTTATTTAAATCAAACAAAAATTTTTAATATCTACTTCACCTACTATTGGCTTACATCATATGCTTAATATACATAAAAATAAACATATGGAATGAAGAATAAATGCGAT